AGTTCCAAGAACTCATTTTGGTGCAACAGTGCAGTGTTAAGTTTGAACTAACTTGGCCCGTGGTCTGGCCGCTTAAACGAGGGTCGCTCCGCACAGCTCATGACTAGTCCTTTGTACAGGCTGCGGGGAAGCAAGTATGCGAACTGCAGCGCACCCACCGAGTCCTCTGACAAGGACCAGGTCTATCCTAGCAGGTTTCAGCACCCGTGTTTCTGAAACAGGAGTACCTTCTTTCCCTAGGGAGGAAAAGATGGACTGCGGAGCATATGTCCTCAATAGCCTGTTTGTCGGATTCAATGTATGGGGGCATGGGGTGGGGATTTTCCACCTGTTTAACCAACGGTTCGGGCCGCATATAGGAAGAAAGGCATGGCAAGATCATTCAATTTTTTTTTGCGTAGTCACACAACGAAGGTACTCACAATAGGAGAGCGGGAAGAATCTCAGAAGCGACTCCACAAATCATCATGCATCTGATCGCTGAGTGATGTGATGGACAACCATTCAAAAGGAGGAGAGAATCAAAGGAAAGGAAGTGGATAACAACGCAGACTGAAGACTCCGAATTCGGATGCATTACCCTGACTCTCTACGGGGATTCATAGAAGAAGAGCGGCCTACCCAACCTTTTTCTTTCTTAGCCAGCTCAATTCTGATCATCCTTAACACTCTTAAAAAAATAGCGGTCCTCGTGCAACGCTGCCGCGCGGGCCCAACAAACAAACGGTTGGGAGGTGGTAGTGGTGGGGCGCGGCCCGTCCTGGAGAGCGGCCACACTGTCCCGGGGTGAACAAGGTTTTGTCGTGTCGCTGCGTCGTTTCATTTGGCAGTTGGGCGGGGTGGGTGCGAGGAGCGTCTTGACGGGAGGCAGGTGAGGGAGAGGAGCGAGGTGACGGGAGGGGGGGGGAAGGGAGAGTGGTGATTGCACGCCGGTTGACACGGGAGCGCCACGTCGGAGAAGTGACGTGGCGATTGCAGAGTGGGGTCGGCAGGGCCAACCGGCAGCGTAGCGGGCAGGCAGATGTGGAAGATCCCGCGATGGGCAAGTGGACAGGAAGGAGAGGAAAGCGGGAACAGCGGAGTGTTACTCTCTCTCTCTCTCTATAAATTTGCACAGCCCCTTCCTCTCCCTCTCTTTGATCTCGGCTGCAATGCTGCGCAAGCTATGCGCGAAGACTGCGGCGCCGAACAGGCTCGACATGCCCAAGGAACGGGTGGAGTGACGGCATGGGGTGGGACTAGCAGTAGATTCGAGGCGAGGCAGTCGGAGGGACTGAGCGGTGGTGGAGACGGGAGCACAGCCACTGGCAGGGCCTTGTGGCTATGACTGGCTTGTGATCGGTTGGGTATGGTGGCCGCGCACGTGGAGTGCCAACGATGTTATGATTTTTTTGAAGAGCGAGGGACTCGCTTCTGCTCCATCGCTGCTTTGTCCAAGTGTCATGTGTGCTGTAGGCTAAGTGTGGATACTCAGTCGTGTGCCTGGCTTTGGTTGCAAATGTCTTGCAAATGTCTATGGATGCTAAATGCTTCTCTGTTAGAAAGTCTGTGGGTACATGGATGGTTGGGGACCGTGCGTTGGTCCTGGTCATGCTTGCGCGCACTGGTGCACACCTGGGGTGATTGGGTTTTGGATGTCTGCATGAGTGTAGGAGTGTGCTGATTCCCCTTTTCCCCGACTAACTGCCGATCCCCGCGCTTAGCGCGTGCGAGAGATCGCCGCTGCCCTTTCTCCTTCTCTCCTCCATTACGTGCAAGCGCCACGTGTTAACCCCTTCGTTGCCTGTGCGTATGCCCGAGGGACCAGGGACATCAGGTGTGGGGAGACTTGGTCGTCCCACCCGATCTCCCTGCCTCCCGGCCATTGCCATTTTGTCAAGGTGACAATTTTGATTGGAGTCATCACATGTGGTAGCTTGCATTTTGATAGGAGGTCGGTTTGTGTAAGACAAGTTGAGATTTGTATGGAGTCGAGGTTCACCAGACTGACTGTGAGCGTGGGTAACTGCCCGTGCTCGAATCTCAGATTGATCTGCCATAGCGACCTTCCCCCTTTTCTGATCGCGGACGAGGACGGTCTTCACTGCGATGCGGATGTGCGAAGGACGCTATTGCGGACCGATCGGGTTGAATTTTATAACCCGTCTAAGGCGTGTCACATAGGGGGAACGTGGTCTGTCCTGGTCGATCGGTTTGCCTCCCCATCTTTGACCTTGCCATGCACTGATTTAACGGTTCTCCCCTGGTCTGCAGAGCACGCCACATGGAAGCCCCTAGTTTAACTGTCGATGGTGTTGGCTCGGAAAGTCGTGTTCATGACGGAGGTTGGTGCTGGGGTACGAAGGGTCGATCCGGTTCTCGGATCTCTCCCGCAACGCAGGAGCTTTTCCATCGAATCCGGACCTGGGTACTTCCGCTCTCACCCCTGTCGGCCAATGAGAATTCAAGCTGATCAGACGGGTCCCGCGGACCCGACTCGGATGTGTAATGTGTCCCTCTTCTCCTTGGTCCCCACGAAAAGGGGGCGTGAATCTGACATAGAATAGACGGCCGATTCGTTTCTCTTTGCGGAATTTTTGTAGTTACTTTTTGAGTAAAGATGAGTTACATATGTGTCCTTAAGTCTCTGCACGGGGTTTTGCTGATGTCCTTCCCTTTTCCAGTTCTTTAATTTCTGTGATTTTGTGATTAACCCTGTTGGCCAGTGTTTCCAAAAAGACCCTTGGGACTGAGGCGAGAACCCCAGCCTGGCGGTTCAACCCCCGCCCAAAATCCTCGGCCACACCCCAATTACTCTGATCGGCGCTCCCACGGGTACGCGACGCTGCGCAGGGTGTGAGGTTGGACATATTACAACCTAATTGCAATGGGCCTCGGATGCGTGCGAACGGAATCACATCCAGAGCCGAGCGGAGACAGGTCCCGGTGTATGGCGTTAGGTCATGGATGCTGTCAGCGCTGGGGTTCGCAATGTTGGACTACTACAAGTATATCGCAGCCCTGGGGAAGACATGAGACTTCAGTTTAGATACAGAGTTGGTTTTCTGTTTTATAAACTTTTTTCTTCTTTTTTTTTTCCCCTTGGGGTGGGAGGGGGGGTTTAAGAAAAACTCCCAAGCTCTGTTGGTCATTGCAGCGGGCCCAGGGGGAACTAAATGGAATGTCAGTCGCTACCTCGACGGAATCAGGTCTGTCCCAGACCTCGGGCATGGTTCCCACAGCCCTTTTTAAAGAAAAACTCCCAAGCTCTGTTGTTCATTGCAGCTGGCCCAGGGGGAACTAAATGGAATGTCAGCCACTAGCTCGAGGGAAACAGGTCTGTCCCAGACCTCGGGCATGGCCCTGGACGCCACCTGAGACGGGAGAGGAGGGTTTAGGGGTTTACGAAGGTGGGGTTTAAGGAGTTGGGAAAGCAGATGGTTAAGATGACTGCTTGCTTTTCAAGTATGTTTCTTGGGGTGGATACATTTGATAGGGGGAGGGAATGAGCGACAGTATGGGCTTGACCGACAGTCAATCTTTCCTGCTGAGAAGTAATCAGTGCTGTCATGGTTCCCCAGGCCGTAACGTGGGGAAGCTTTTTTTTTTCTTTTTCTTTTTTGAGTTGTATTCATTTTTGACTTGCCGCCGAAGTTGCCAGTGGAAAAGGAACCGAACTGATGCTTCCCAGAATAGAAGGAGCCAAGTTTCTTAGAAGAAGAAGAAAAAAAAGAACTCAAAGAACTTAAAAAAAGACTGGTATTTGTTCTTTCTTTTTTTGTTTTTGCAGATATCTGTTCTTGGCTGTCTCTGACGATTTTCTTGCTTTTTTTTGTGTTTCCTTTTGCGATCTTGCAATTGCAATATGACGGTGGTTATTATTATTAATTTATTATTGTTATTATTCTGTGTTAATTGCAGGTGAATGTGGCAAAACGGAGGACATACACAGTGGGATACTTTTGGCTGGGAGAGGGTAGGCAGGTTGGGGGGGGGGAGGGGGGGGTTGGATCTGTAGGTGGTTTAGATGAAGCGCTGATAGTTTATGTGTATATAATTACGATATATACCATGTGTCATGGTATTGTGATAGATGGACATTCATTAGAGTGAACAGACCCCCACGGGAAGTAGTTTTTCAGGGGAGCAATATTATGTAATTTACCCCTGGGGGGGAGGAGACTTGGACAGATGTCTTTGTGTTATCACAGACCCTTGTTCTCGAGGAGTGAATTTGCTGCCCTGAAAAACTACCTACCGTGAGAGAGAGAGAGAGAGAGAGAGAGAGAGAGAGAGAGAGAGAGAGAGAGAGAGAGAGAGAGAGAGAGAGAGAGAGAGAG